GCCCAATGATCCTTCGGATGATCACGCCCGAGCTCACGCAGCAAGGACGAAAGCCCAGCCAAACCACCATGCGTGGCGGCGCGCGAGACTGCACTGCTGCAGTCTGGCAACGTGCTTGACTTGTCGTTGGCTTTCATGATTGGTCATCGCTACGTAACTAAAGCGAATATCACCCTTCGACTACTCAAGAACAAGGTAGCGTTGGTCGCAGACGTCGAGCTCACGCGCCTGTTCGCGACCAAGCGCAAGCGCCAATCAAAAGGACGTCGATTCGAGTAGTGGAGTTCACAACAACAAATCTATCAGTATGAAGTACGGCGAGTCATTGCACTATATGTGCGATAAAGGTAGAACGCGATCATCCCGACTTCACGTCTTGCGAATCCAACATTGCTACTATGGCCATTGGAGCCCTTGCGACTGCGGCGCAAACAGCGGGCCGACCATTTGAAAGCAGCGCATCTGCGCAATCACAAACTCGCACCTCTTTGCCCTCTTTTCAACATAAAATAGAGTGTAGAATATACACTTTAACGATCTATTACTACAATTGCACTACTAGTACGACCTAACCTCGTCAAGAAACGATATCATTCGCACGCAGTCGCTGCCACCGCGCTACGCAGCGAGCGACGGCGGGCCGTAGCGCACCGTGTCCCAGATCTTGTCGACATTGCCGTTCGCCGACACAAAGAGTCGGCGGCCATCGCACGCGTTGCGCACAATAGCGTGGCTGCCGTCAACGGTGTTCAAAATGACGAGCGCGGGTAAGAACCGGATGTGAAAGTGCTCGCGCAACGCCGCTTGGCGCGTCCGGTCGACCCACGGCAAGGCCGGAAACGGCATCTCGTCGTGGTAGAGGCAAAACTCGTCCTCGGCTTTGTCGCTCGAGACAAAGACCACGTCGAAGTCGGGGTGCGCCTCCAAAATGTCGTCGTAGAGCGTCGAGAGCGTTGGCGTAAACTCGCGGCACGGGCCGCACCAGTGAGCGCTAAAGTAGAGGCCGACGACCGACGTGGTCGCGAGATGGTCTGCTGTCGGAACCTCCTTGCCGCCACTCAAGCGCAAGCGAGGACCGAGGAGGTCGTGCCACGAGGTCATGATGGGGCTTGTCATGTGTGCTCGAAGAATGAAAATGGCGCCGTGACTGCAGAAAACCCATGCCGTGACGTGATTGGCTAAAATACTGGCGCTGGAGTGTGGCCACAACCAATCCCATCGACGAAGTCCATGTAGGCCACGCGGTACGGCATCGCCGATTGGTCCACACTATATAACGTTTGATTGGCGTTTATATATCCTTTTCAACCAATTGGAAGCCGCAGCATCAGGGTCGGCACGGAACCGCGCGGGCCAGGTCGGTCGGTGCATCACAGTCTGAAATGAAATGGCTCAAACTTGGTCTACCGATAGAGCGCGAATGAAAGAGCATGGAATGCTAACTCAAGTCGCCATTGGAGGCGTATCACGAGAGGTAATGACAAATTTATGCACGGTTGGCGCCGTTGTGATTGCGTGATACGCAGTGATTGCAAAACTGAAGGTTGAAATTTGTCCATTTCAGGCCCGACCCCGCCCATTATTACCTACCGGTACGTTTAGATTTAGCCTCGCAACTTCATTTCCAGGTGTGTAGCTCTAGTGCCGGGATGAAACCTTCCGCACTAACGTTAGCACTTGTACTAATACCCCGACGTGGCAACCTGCAACGCGTCCACGACAAATTGCTAGCATTATCCAAACCGCAACTCATACCCGATAGCTCTATTCCTAACAAGCAGGGACATGCGAGACACACATACCCCATACTCCTGCTACTGTAGCCACGCAACGCTTCTAAGTTCAATTGTTCCTGCACTCGCGGTGTTGCCACGAAAAACAAGAAGCCCAATCGGTCGGGGGCCAAGGCGCCGGCAACAAAAGCCATGGTGTCGGCGCTGACACTGACTACATGCGTCAGCAAGGCGACGAGGCAGTGAGCTGACTAAACAGAAGACGCGGGGTATACTTCAACACATCAACGCTCCATAGAAAGGGCCTTTTCCCAACTTCGAGGTTCACGACGTGACGATGTTATTTGTCTTGCGTTTTGTATATATATACAAACCGCAAGATATTAGCCTGTCACGTATGCAAAATGCCAATCAGACGCAACATCGCCTTGCACCGTGAGCAATGGCGGCGACGACGTGGCGCGTGCTCTTGGTCTTGCTGGCGCCGGCGATCGTCTCGGGCCTCTTTGTCTTTCCGGACAACTGCGGTCGACCGGGCTTCATCGCGGTGCCCGACGAGCTCCGGTGCGCGTGCGCCCACGCGACGCGCGTCTCGACCATCGACTACCTCAGCCTCCACTACTGCAACATGGATGCACTGCCGCTCGTCTCAGTCACGTTGCTCTCGACACTGCTCTGCCTCCTCTTTTACAGCGTTGGCGACACGACCGATCGGTACATGGTCCCGGCCGTCACGTCGATCGCGGCCATAACGCGACTGGACCCGAGCGTGGCCGGCGCGACGCTCCTCGCCTTTGCCAACGGCGCGCCCGACCTCTTCTCGTGCGTCGCGTCCTTCGCCGGCGCGCACACGCACAGCGGGTTTGGCGTCGGCGGTCTGCTCGGCAGCGGCCTCGTCATCGCTGTCTTTACGCTCGGGCACTTGGCGTATCTTGCGGGCGGCTTTGATCTGCGCAAGTCACCGTTCATGCGCGACGTGGCGTTCTACCTCGTGACGGTGCTCGGCCTCTTGCTCGCCTACCGCATCGGCTACATCTCGGTGCCCATGGCCATCGCCGCGATATGCTGGTATGCCGTGTACACAGCCTCGGTCGTGGGCATGCCCAGTACGCCGCCGCCAGAGATCGATAATGCCGATGACAACGACGACGACAAGGCAGTCGTGCTGCCCAATATGACCGTCACGGAGGACATGATCGTCGTGTCGGTTGATCCTAACGAGGACAATGAAGATGACGAGTGCGCGTCGACGACCGACACACTCATGAGCGTCGACGAGTCGCCGCGGTCGTTTTGGTGCGACGTCACGGACTGGGACAAGGTCGGGCGACTCGGCCAAGTCGTGATTGTCCTCCTCGCTCCCTTTCTCTTGGCGCGCCACGTCACGGTGCCCCGGCTCGAGTCGCCTCTTGTCTCGCGCAAGGAGCTCGCGACCGTCGCCTTTGCAATGCCGTACTTTCTTTTGGCCGTGAGTACGCGGTTTATGCCCGTGCCTCTGATGGCGGTCGGTGTCGCGCTCGTCGTCAGCAGTGTCCTCGCGGGACTCACGTACCGGTGCTGCGACGGCGCGCAACAGTCGTGGCAGCTTCTACGATCGTTCCTCGCGCTCTTTCTCTCCAGTCTCTGGGTCTTTGTGATTGGCCATGAGATCGTCGCCGTCATGTACGTACTCGGCGTCGGCGTCGGCATCTCGAGCGGAACGCTTGGCATCCTCGTGCTCGCGTGGGGCAACTCGATCGGCGACTTTGTCGGGAACCGCGCGCTTGTCCGGCAAGGCCACGTGCACATGGCAACCGCAGCGTGCATTGCTGGCCCGATCTTCAACACGCTCGTCGGCGGCGGTCTCTCGCTGCTGCTCGGCTGTCTCCACGCTAATGATCACCGCGTTGCGATCTGGAGCGCCGACCACAATGGATCGCTTGGCATCGGTTTTGTCGTCTTGGCTATCGCGCTGCTCTCGCTCTTGGTACTCGGGTCGAGATATCCAGCCAAAGACATTGAGCTCACACCGACCTTTGGGCTCTTCCTCGTCGCCCTCTACAGCCTCTTTTGCGTCTGGACGCTCGTAGACGAGACGTCGAGCTGGCAAAACGACGACTGAAGCTAGCCAATGTAGTGTTACGAAATAGAATTATGTTCGCGTATTGTACGTCAAGTACTATGATATAATATGTCGATTGTGGGAAGATGGAGGCAGCTCGCCGCGCCAACGACACAGAGCGACCTTCGTGACATGCTCGTATGTGGCGTGTCATTGCCGAGGACAGGAGATGCCCAATGGAGTACGCCGCCCCCTCGATCATTCAAGTTGGCCAACATTGGTCGACGAGGCTGGACAGTTGAATCGTATGCTGGATAGATGGATAGATCCAGGGATAGATCCGTCGTTTTCTGGCTGACAATTCGGTGCCACTCGGTCGGTTGATGCCCATCAAACGCAGCAACCGTCAAACGGCGATGAAGTTCGCACATGCATGTCGCGTATTCGAGTTGCCTACAAACAGCAGTATAACCTGCGTGGAACTTGGCACGCGCGAACTTGCACGTAATCAGCATTCAGGTTTGTTTGGTGGTATGAAGGAGGAGGCGACGCCGTCCCTATCGGCGGCGTACATGGAGGTCCTTCGGAACCTTGATGGCACCGTCGAGGCGCCTGGCAAGTACGCCTTAACAGGCGAGCTCTTCGACATTGGTCCGCCCAAGCTTGGCGTCGACCGCTCGCAAGGCTACAAGCCGTCGCCCGACCTCGTGCCCGTCAAGCAGCCCGCGTCGGTCATCGCCAGCTTTGGGCCCGCGCCGCTGGTTGTGCCCAAGGAGCACATCTACTTTGTCCAAGGCGAGCAAGAGTGGGCACGCTACCTCGACGGCTGGACGCTGCACAACATCACACGCGTCCTCAAGCCCGCTTGCAAGCGCATCACGCTCCATCTCTCGCACGTGACGATCGACGGTCCCGGCGCATCGCCGGTGCTCACGCCGTCGCAAGCACCCCGAGGCACGTTCGGGACATTGGCGATTGCGCTGCCGTCGACGTGCGTCCGGCAAATCACGTTTACGAGCACCGACGACGCCACTGCGTGGATGCCCTTTACGCATACAACGATGAGCTTTGCCGCGTGGTACAACGACTGCACTGTTACTGTGGCGCCAATTACGACACCGGGGCACCGTGCGTACCTCGTCTACAGCTTGGTCAGCAGCGACGGCGAGCCGCACCGGACGAGCCCGGCAACGACGTCATCCGCAGCGGCCGAGCTCGCGGCCCTCGCTGCCCAAACCCACCAGCTCGACATAACGTACGCATATCGGCTCTTCAACAAGACCAACGATTTGCGGTTCGAGGCGCTTCAAGGTCGAGATGCCGCCTTCCTCAACGCACTCGTTGCCGCTGGTACATTCGATGTCGCGCTCGTCCGGGCCCCGCGGCAGAAGCTCACGCGCGCCGAAATGCACACGGAAGCATGCAACAAGCGGCCGCGAGAAGACTTCCGCCGTCAACCCCAAGTCGCCACCGCACCGAAGCGTGTGACGATACCCTCGAACGAGCGCGCGCCGCACTCCTACGACGCGAGCGGCGTCAAGTACTTGGATGCCGACCTCGATGACCATGACGAGTCTGACACGGACGCGTCGGACGCCGGTGACTGCAGTGACGACGAGATGTTCTACCAGTACGTCGATAAAGAGCAGCCAGTGTCCAAGACGAGCACGGACGCGTTCCACGAAGACCGTCTGTACTTTGAAGACAATGCTGTCGACAGAAGCTTTCCCAATGCAAGCAATTCGAAGAAGCGCCGCCGAGCCCAAGTCGACATGGACGACTCGCCGTTGGCGTACTCGTACGGCCGTTCACGCTACCTTGGCGATGACGATGGATACAGCGGTGAAGACGGCAGTGCCGACGACGGCAGGGACCACAGTGACGACGACGGCAGGGACCGCAGTGACGACGATGGTGACAGTCGTGACGCATATGACGACGACGACAGCGAGTGGGACGTCGATGTGTACGACTTTGATGACCAACGTGACGAAGAGTTTGACGACGAGTCGGATGAAGTCTACTACGACGACGACTGGGGCGAACCGTACGGAGACCAAGACGCGGACGCACCGTGCGCCGACAACAAGACGACGCTCGAGGACAGCGAGAGCGACACCGGCGTCGATGCCGCGTATCGCAAAACACGGAAACGAGATTTTATGTACGGGAACTGCGACTGCGACGATAGATTCAAGCGCAAGCCGTGGCGTCGCATCACCGAAGCCCTCCTGCACCCGACGTCGTCGGATGCGATGCAAGCTGCACTCCTTACTCGGTCAGTCGGACGCTGGATCACGAACCGCGGTCTCAAGCGTCTGCGCTCCGTCCTCCTCGTGTTTTGGCCCAAGCGCCACCGAGCGCGTATCCTCGGCCTTGACGCCGCCGTCGCTGCTCTCGAGAAGAACGAGCCAAGTCTCCTTGGTTTTGCAACGACCGACGACATCGCCGCCAGCCTCATCGATGCGTTTGGTGCTCCAGGTGTGCACTTCACCGACGTCCACGTGACCGCAGTCGGCGCGTATCTGCTGAGCCACCCGTCGCCGACTTTGGTGGCGCGCTTTCTACCATTTAGCGTCACCATGCGCAAACGAACGTCCCGTCGCCGGGGTCTCCGCTGGTTTCAAGCCGCTATCGCTACATTCGGTGTCGCTGCCGTCGCCAGTGACATCCTCGCTCTTTGCACGCCCAAGCACGAAGGCCTATATTACCTCGGCAAGGCCATCCGATGGATGCGCCGGCTTTTCGTCTCGAACGCCGCGTATGTCACGCAAGACGGCTTTGGCCCGCTCCTCGTTCAGTGCTGGCGGACGCTCGCAACGCAGCTCGCGGCCATTCCGTCGGTCGACGCGTACCCGCATGCAATGCCTTGGCGCCTACAGCCGCCGATGCTTCAAGCGGCGCTCGAGTTGGAGGCGGCAGCCGCCGCTGTCTCGTCGCAGTCCTTTCCGACCTCGGTCTATGCGTTTGCTACCACCGTGTACACGACGCCCGAAGCTGTCACTGCAATTGTCCTCCCGGCGGTCGTCCAAGCGTCACCGACAACGATCGCGACACCGTTTCTTCCTCTCCTGCAGCGCAATCTCCCGACTCTTCATGACGCGCTCACCAGATCAACGGATATCGGACGTTGGATCCTCCGCTTTAATGACCGGTTTGGTGACGTCCTCGCCGACTACAAGGAGGCCGCGGTGCTGCCCGAAGCCGACTACGACGTCGTACGCACTCTGCTGTATGCTCTGCGCAACGGCGGCATGACGCTGTCGGACGCTGACGCCACCGCGATGGCCGACGACGTTCTCACAAGGACACGGGGCGTGGTCGTAGCGACCGTTGCGCGTCAGCTCAAGGCCCGTGGCATCCCGATGAGTGGCATGGCGCTAGTGAGGACGGTGACGCAAGCACTCGCGGCCTGTCACTTGCTCTCGGCAGTGCATGTCAACCGCCTCGTTGATGCCGTCACGGACGTTGTCTTTGCGTCCGATGACGCACTCTACTACGTCCGCCACGTGCTCTACCCCGTCCTTCGATACCTCGACGTGATCTTGACCATGTATTCCGCTCGGCGCGACGAGCTCGCGACGAGTATTCGAATGGCGCTAGAAGACGCCCTCGATGTCCCGGATGTCGCGCCACTGGTCCAGCTCCAAGGACTGTGCACCTGCACCGCGTGCACTGTGGTGACGGGTCACCTCGCCGACCAAGGGCCCCTGCGGAATCTGAGTGAGGTGGTGCCAGTGACCTGCGCCGGGCTTCGCGCCGCCATTTCAAGATTGCCGCCGCACCATCCACGCGTGACGCTGGTGCTCCTTGGACCGACGTCGGCCAGTCTTCGTATTTGGACGCAAGCAGGTGCCCAAGCTCGGCGCCAGCGAGACGAAGCCATGGTGGCGTACCTGGCTGGAAGGCGGCCGGCGCCGACGCGCGCCGAGGCAGACGACGCAATCGCTGCGCTGGAAGCGACGCTGCCTCTTTTACCGACGACGCCACCGGTCGTTCGATCGTATCACCACATGGGCGACTACTAGTACAGCGGGACCTACTGGTACTGGTACTCCAACGGTGTTTACCACGAAGACTCTGGCGGCACCTACTTTGACTACATGGGCGCCCGGGACTACCATTGCGACTATTAGTGCGACTAACTAATGCCACGCGTGGCTTGGCTTTTGCACTCGACGCCATCCATGTGGTGTTATGCAAGTTATCATGGACTAGCGTCGACCCGCGCCAGGCGCGTTCCTGCCCCCAAAGGTCCAATGCGGAAGGTCCAGCGCCGCCATTTCGATGCGATTTGTATCAATACGAGCCGCGTACAAAGCAGCTACACCGAGTTGCACGGGTCATCAGCACTTGTGAATTTACCGCGGAAAACGCAGCAAAGGATACGAGCCATCGTCCCACAAGGCCGACAATTGCTCGCCGATCGATCTTACTGGCGCGCCGTCTGGCAAGTGCAATCTGGGCCGTGGGGCTCGGCTCCTATCATCGAACAGGACCGTCGAAGCGAGCTTGTCGAGGCGAAAGCTTCGCGATGCACCGATGCGCTTCCATCTTGCGGTGCACAGACATGCGAGAGATTGCGCAACCAGCGACTGCCCAATACCGCATGGTATGCAAAGGGCCCGTTGCAGATGGGTGAAAGGTCGGACACGGACAGACACGGGTAGCCGACGCGGCATCGGAGGGGCTTGGCAGCCGACTCGACCGCACCCAATGCTCGTCCGACCTTGCCCTTGCAGGCTTCTTCTTCCGCGCATCAACCTAGTACCTTCGAGCAGCAGCGTATGTTGGCAGCATCATCATCCAACGACGTTCAAGAACACTCGACGTCGACGTCGAGGACCAGATTGTTGCTGCCTCCTCGTGTCCGTTCCCAGCACACGTTTGCCGTCGTGCCCGACAGCCGGTCCACCAAGCTCAAGGGACCGACGACCACGGACAAAGCCGACCTCCCTGTGGTCCCTCGTGCGATTCCCAGTAGCCATCTCGACGTTGTTGCGCCCAGCTGCAGCCGCCCATCTCGTTCGATGGGCGTGGGAGTGCTAGCGTCTGGTTTGTGGTCTGGTATCTGGTAGCGCTCTGATCCGAGCACATCATCCCTCGACGCCCCAACTTCAACAAAGCCCGGCACTCAACTGACCAAATTGCCCTTTCTTCCATCGTACCGTCCAGAATGTACCATTTCACTTGGTATTTGTATGGTAACGTAATCTGTACGGAATGTACGTACGTGTATCAGAAAGGCCGACGATCCTTGCCAAGGTGCCCAGATTTCCATTCGCCACTTTGAGCGCAGTCGTTTCGTATGCTGCTTCGCCGGACCGCGCTCCACCGCCTGAGCCGCAGCAGCCGCGTCTTCAGCGCCGCTGCGCCGCCCATGAAGCACTATCTGACCGAGTACCGCAAGAGCATCGACGACCCGGAGGCGTTCTGGGACGAAGCCGCCAAGGACATCCACTGGTTCAAGCCGTACACCAAGGTCCTCGACAAGACCAACGCGCCGTTCTACAAGTGGTTTCCCGACGGCGAAATGAACACGTGCTACAACGCGCTCGACGTCCACGTCGCCAACGGCAAGGGCGACGCACCGGCCATCTTTTACGAGAGCCCCATGACCGGCACGAAGCGCACGATCACGTACGCCGAGCTCCTCGAGCACGTCGAAGTCCTCGCCGGTGCACTCGCCCGCCAAGGCGTCACAAAGGGTGACCGCGTCGTCATCTACATGCCCATGATCCCGGAGACCGCAATGGCGATGCTGGCCTGCGCCCGCCTCGGCGCGATCCACTCGGTCGTGTTTGGGGGCTTCTCGGCCAAAGAACTCGCCGTGCGGCTCGAAGACGCCAAGCCCAAGGTACAATGCGCCCTTGTCGACGTGCTCGGGTGCTAAAGCTTCGTAGGTGGTGCTCAGTGCGAGCTGCGGCCTTGAGCCCAAGGGCATCATCGAATACGAGCCGATGCTCAAGGGCGCGATCGAGCTCTCGGCGCACAAGCCGGAACTGTGCGTTGTCTACCAGCGCCAGAAGCGCCACTACAACCTCGGCGAGAAGGACATGTCGTGGGCCGACTTTATCGATGGCGCGACGCCGCATGCGTGCGTGCCCGTCAAGTCGACCGACCCGCTCTACATTCTATACACGTCCGGCACGACGGGCAAGGTACTCTAGTCGCTCTCAGTAGAACAAGCGTCTCCATCTTGCTCTCGTGTAGCCCAAGGGCGTCGTCCGCGACCACGGTGGTCACAACGTCGCGCTCAAGTGGGCGATGCAAAACATCATGGGCATGAACCCGGGCGAGACGTACTGGGCGGCCTCGGACTTTGGCTGGGTCGTCGGCCACTCGTTCATCGTCTACGCGCCGCTCTTCCACGGCTGCGCAGTACGTCTGCTTGGATCGGCTGGATACGATCTTATTCTCATGTCGATAGACCGTGATCTACGAGGGCAAGCCCGTGGGCACCCCGGACGCCGGAGCATTCTGGCGCGTCATCTCGAGCTACAACGTCAAAGCGCTCTTCACGGCCCCGACCGCGCTCCGTGCGATCCGCAAGGAAGACCCGGATGCGACGTTTTTGCACCAGTACAAGAAACACATGTCGCACCTCAAGTGCGTTCTTTGTATCAATCTATCGAGCAGCAGTTGCTCACATGGCGTGCAGGACGCTCTTTGTGGCCGGCGAGCGCGGCGATCCGGCGACGATCCAGTTCTTCACCGACCAGCTCCAGCTGCCGATCGTCGACAACTGGTACCTTGCTTCCCCTGCATTGGCATGCATGTCGACACCTGTGTCCAGGTGGCAAACTGAAATTGGCTGGCCCGTCTGCTCGCAGATGATGGGCATGGACCAGCGTGACGCCAACGGCAGTGAGCACCCAGGGATCAAGTACGGGTCGGCGTCGCGGCCGGTCCCGGGCTTTGACGTTGTCCTGCAAGACAAATTTTACGCGACCGAAGACAAGACGCACGAGCACGACCCGAACGACGTGGCTGAAGGCAGCATCCTCCTGCGCCTGCCATTACCGCCAGGTCGATCTCGCCCCCTCCCTGTATCTAGGTGCTCAAAATGGATGCAGGCACGTTCACTACCTTGTACAACAACGACGTCGAGTACGTGAGCAAGTACATGGACGAGCATCCGGGCTACTACACGACGGGCGACGCCGGGCACATTGACGACGACAACTACGTCTACGTATGCCGGCAACCAAGACTTTATTGACGACGACATCGTAGATCATGTCGCGCACCGACGACATCATCAACGTGGCCGGCCACCGGCTCTGCACCGGCGCGATCGAAGAAGTCATTCAAACCGACGACAACATTGCCGAATGCGCGGTTGTCGGCGTCGCCGATGCGCTCAAGGGGCACATTCCAGTGGCATTTGCAGTGCTAAAGTCCAACACGACAGCCTCGAAAGACGAGGTCGCGTCCGCGATCGTCGCCCGCGTCCGGTCGCAGATTGGGAGCTTTGTGTGCTTAAAGGACGTGCTCATCGTGGACCAGCTGCCAAAGACCCGGTCCGGCAAGATTGTCCGGCGCACGATCCAAGCGATCGCTGACTCGCGCCCGTACACGGTGCCCGCGACGATCGAGAACGAGTCGGTGCTCGTCGACATTGCAAAGTCGCTTCAGACCATCGGGTACGCCAAGTAGTCGCGTTGCCCAGTGTCGTGTCGTCTGGTGTCGTACAACTAAGCTATATTACGTAACCCATTCTTGTGTTCCCAGTCTTATTGTGCTAACATTGTACAGCGCGGTATGTGCAAAACCAGCAACAAACTGTCGACATTGCGTTGGTGACCAGATCGAGATCTGGTGGTGCACGCGAAGGCTAGAATGTCTGGTCCACGGACGCTTCGCTTGGTTCGGGTTGACGTTGATTGTCGTGGGACCCGATTTTCCGGCCCTTGTTGAATCCCAGCAGCCCCACCGCCCGAGTGAATGATGCAACGGGTGGCATCGGCTACCACGGCGTGCAGCCGATGATGCGGTCCCTTCCCATGCTCTTGCCCGCCCAAGCACACTCGGCTGCGCGAGACACCACTCCAGGACCGTAAACGACTCGTCGAGCTTCGTGTTCGTCGACGTCCCATCTTTGTTGGATGCATCGTTACGGGTGGAATCCCACTGGCGCTAGGAGGCTGCGCTGCCGGCCCGGAGCTTGTTGAAGGCGTCGATGGCCTTGTCGTAGGCCGTGATGCCCGAGCCGCCGGGTCCGTTCTGGAACTGACGTCGGTTCTCCATGTAAAAGATGTGGAGCTTGCACGTTCCCGCGCCTCTCTGACGGTGGGCGCGGTTCGGGCAAAAGCACTCGGGGCACGGGCGCATCTTGCGCTTCGTATTCGGTCGCAAGTTGACTTCGCCATGCGCGAGTTCGGCCAGCGCACGTTGCCACTGAGTAGCCGTCGACGATGCGGCTGCGTTGGTGTCGAAAACGTCCTGCACATGGCGGTCGGTCCCGATGGAAGCAAGCGCGGCCCGAGCTTCATGGAGCTCGACCGCGTCGACGGCCACACGCGGGGTCTCTTCCATAGCGTTAGCTGCACTGGTATCAACGGCCGTGACGTCTGTGACGTCCGTGGCGGAGACGTCCGTCCGTTCAGGCGGCGTGGCATCTCTCTCGGAAGCCGCGAGCTGCTGCATTGAGCGCGTGTACGCGGCGACGTCGAGCGTCACGATGCGGTCCCCGCTGTGTCGGAACGGCAAGAGCGCGACCATGGATGAGGGATACCACGTCTGAAGCAATCGCTCGTCAAGGCTCGAGAAGAAGGTGCCTACATCGCCAGTGGCGGATCTATACCGAGATGCTCTGGACGTACCTCTGGTCGCAGGAGTGGTGCTGCGACCTCGACTCGAACTCGGAACGTGTGGCTCTAGTATAGCATGCATGACACGAACTCATGCTGGACGTTGCACACCTGCCGCGTTGTTGGCGGCGCCCGTACAGTTAGGATGGCGCAGTCGACGATACTTGAGGTAGGATTTGCGCCCGTCCAGCGAAACCACGGGCTCAAAGCCCTTGCACCACCCATGGGCGACGACGCCCGTACGACCGCAGACGGGGCAGTTGAGGTCCGCGACGGCGATCAAGTGCGAGAAGAAGGTGAACGGACACCACACGTACACATCGCAGCCGCCAAAGACGCGCGCGTCCGGGTCCGTGGGCATTGTCGCATCGAGCGCCGGGTCCGAGATCGTATACTTCCACGTGGGCCAGAGCCGTCGATCCAAGACCGTCTTGGCACACGGCTTCAAGTCGAGCAGCACCGGCAAGGTCGCGACACGCTGGAGCCACTCGTTGTCGAGCAGCTGGGATTCGACGGCGCCGCCAGGTCTACATCGAGCGTGCGATCACGAGGGGCCCATCAGGTCGATCGTACGGCGTCGCATTGCTATTGTCCGTGTCGTCGTCATCGACAGTGTCGCTATCGCCGCGCGGGTGGATCTCGGTGGACCGGCGCTCGTCTTCGTGTGGCGTCACTTGGCGTCCACCACCTTTGTCACTGCTCTCGGCCATCTGCGCCTCTCTTCTTGCATCGCGGTCGAGACGGGTGTCATCATGGCGGCTACGATCACATACATGGAGGTGCTGCAGGCTTAGCCAGTGGCCACGTACACCAACAGCGGTCGGCAACCGGCGGGCGTCTCGTAGGCGCGGCGCATGCGATGGACAATGACGCTCCTGGTAATAGCTTTCTGCAACTTGACGGCGCGCTTCTTGGCGGCGCGCTTCCTGCATGTTGCCCATGACGCCGTTGGAGCATGATGGATGCATTGTCGTACTACCTTGCGGCCACGCCTTCGGGGCACCCAGCGCCATGCTGCCGCTGCTTGCGGCAGAGCGCGCAGATGTTCTTGCCGTCGACGATGACCCGCGGGCCCGTGCTTCGCGATCGGCCCACGGCCGGGACTTCGCGTGGCGGCTCCATGCTTGCGACTCGACTGACTGCGGGAAATGCGAGTCGCCATTGTAGCCAATCACATGCTTGGATACTCACGATTCGCCACATTATAGCCAATCCCATGGCTTGATCTATGCGACGAAAATACGCCAATGTTGGTTAAGCCGGTCAACCCCAACCCTCGCCAGTGTAGGGGACTAGAGTCCTACACTCTCTAGTTCACACGTCGACACACCACAAGCGCCTGCGCTACGGACGACATCACACGACAGTCTCCCAGCGTCTCTCATGCGCCGCTCGGTTGGTCCACTACATCACTACACAACACACCCTTGTGCGTCAATCTATCTTTTAATTGAATAACGACTTTTTTGCGCGAAGCGCGGCACGAGCGCAGCGAGGGCACCCGGCGGTAGCCGGGCCCGTGCGATAGCACGGTAGGGCAAAATGAAGTCTCAACATGGTATTCCGGCGTGCGTAGCGCGTCGGGAAGGGTCAAATTCGGTTAAGTACGAGTGGCAGGTCAATGTCGTGATTTTTGACTAGGTGTTTGTAACAACGCTACAAAGTGCGGAAGCGTACTTAACCGAACCGCGCGCAGCGCGCCACGAGCGAAGCGAGTCGACCCGGCGTAGCCGGGTCCTGCGCGATAGCGCAAACCACGAGCGTAGCGAGTGCACCCGGCGATAGCCGGGGTCTGTGCGGTAGCGCGGTAGGGATACATGCCATGCGCGCAGCGCTAATCCTGAGTTTAGCGTGGACACTTGCGATAGTGCACGGCAGTGTGGTAGGATACTGTGCGCGATAGCGCAATGTACGAGCGTAGCGAGTGCATTTGGTATCGTTGGGGCCTGCGCGATAGCGCGGGACCTCAATGTCACGCGTGGTGTTAGATCAATGAGTTTGATCGCGATGTTAGAATCGTATCTGGATGTTACGGTTGCTTTGCAGGTTGCTATTGCAATCCGCACGTCAAGCACAGAGCAGAAGCAGAAGATCCGATCATGGTGTGGACGCCAGGCTCTGTGGCGGAGCGCAAGTGCGAGCAGCGTAATCGCCAAGCTGCATGCGCCCTGGCGACATCTACTCTGGAGGCAAAGGAGCTCAAGCGGAATATCGCCGCGAGGCAGAGGCGACGGCAGCAAACCAAGGCGGCGACCGCGCCCGCCACTGCATCTCCAGGCGAGGCGCGCGTGCAGCAGCCGCGCCTGTCACAGTAGAATTGCTCGGCCTGCAAATTTGAGTAGCGATTCTTTAAACCACCTCATGAACGTTATACATCCTACAATGTTGATTATTCCACACTGTCCAAGCTACGACACAGACACACCGCTAGGTTGCACGCGATACCAAACTGGAATAAAAAAGCGCGCCAGGACCTGCGCAAACCTTCTCCACGAATCAAACCACTGCGCATGCTACACAGAAAGACCGCTAGATGGCCCACCGGCCCTATGCCCCACCTCGACCACAAAGACCAACCACACCCTGCCCCAAAAAAACACGAGGTTTGGGGCAGGGTACGTTGAACTTCAATGCACATGATCCCGTCCACCGAATCCAAACTACCTCACACGCAGTACACGATCCCTCCGCTAGATTGCACGCTACCCCAATGCAAAACCTCAACCAAAGAGCTCGGCCAAAACCTGCCCCAAGAAAACACGAGGTTAACCCTAGTCCAACTATAAAAGTGATACTAGTAATGTTTGATATGCACGTTTGACGATAGGTCATCTGTGCACAATGTGTGGCTCAGTTGGTCGAGATCCATCGTATTTCACAAAGATGCACGGCTGTTGACGACGGTATAGC